CCCCCCCCCTGGGAAAGAGAGACATGAGTAGCGCGTCCGCACCAAACACTCGGACGAGCGACAGTCGCTTCACTTGTACCAAAACAGTTAGTTTTAGTAGAGGTTTTACGGCGCTCGCAACTGCATTAGGTCATATGAGCGACAGAAGATTAGAGGTGTTACAAGAGAGTAACAAACATAAAAAAAAGAAGAAGGGGAGATAAAGACGATAGATGTTTGATAGGAAAGAAGAAGAACAAGACCACACCAGAGCACCCGCCAACCACACACGTACCAAAACATCTCTTTTCCCTCATTTGCGTTCAGACCAAAGCAACGACAACGGCTGAGTGTTAGCCTAATCATCGCAGTTAGTTGTGTAAGGGTTAGAACGAATGTCGCTCGTCAAGAAAACAAAGTATCCGTCAAGAAAACAGAGAATCAGTCAATCAGTCAAAAAAAAGGGTATCAGTCAAGAAAATAGAGTATCAGTCAAGAAAACAGAGAATCCGTCAAGAAAACCGTGTATCAGTCAAGAAAACAGAGAATCAATCAAGAAAACAGAGTATTAGTCGAGAGTATCAAACAAGAAAGTAGAAAATCAGTCAATCAGTCTAGAAAAAAGAGTATCAGTTAACAAAAAAGAGTATCAGTCAAGTAAACAGAGAATCAGTCAAGAAAAAAGAAACAGAAAATCAGTCTAGGAGTAGGACCCAACAGCGGCACCTTCCAACCACCCAGTACCCGCAGAAACAACACGCTCAGACAAGGAGGGAGAAGGAGGCCGGGGCAATGTACTCACTCTCTTTGTTCTTGTCCATGCTGGTCTGTATGGAGGCTTGGTCCGGGGGAGTGCGCGGGGGGCGGAGGTTCAAACCTACGAGAGGCGTCTGACTGCTGGCACTGTGGCTGGAGCCCGGAACTGGGCCCGGCGGCTCCGAACTACTACTGCTGCTGCTGCTACTACTGCTACTACTGCTGCTACTACTGCTACTACTGCTGTTGTTGTTGCTGCTGCTACCGCAGCTAGTCCCTGCTTGCTGATGCTGCTGGTGCTGTTGTTGTTGTTGTTGGTGGTGGTGGTGGTGGGGGTGTGGCTGCTGCGATGTTGCAGCTGCGGGGGTCAGCTTCTCCATGCGGCAGTCTGTACAGTAGATGCAGTGGATGAGCTTGAGGGCATTGGGGTCAAGGCCGGTCGAGCCTCCCCCCAGAACGGGGGACCAACGCGGGGACAAACTGGCGCTTAAACACTCTGTGGACACACAGACAGGGAGATATATTACACACTGTGTGGACACACAGACAGGGAGATATATTACACACTGTGTGGACACACAGACAGGGAGATATATTACACACTGTGTGGACACACAGACAGGGAGATATATTACACACTGTATGGACACACAGACAGAAAGATGTGTTACACACTGTGAGACACACACAAACACACACACACACACACAACGCGGGGACGAACTGGCGCTTAAACACTCTGTGGACATAAGGACAAATAGAAGACATTATTAAAGACGGTGTGGACACATGTACAGGGAGATTTGTTACACACTGTGTGGACACACAGACAAATAGCATATTAAACACGGTGTGGACACATGTACAGGGAGATTTGCTACACACTGTGTGGACATACAGACAAATACCGGACATTATTAAACACTCTGTGGACGGACGGACGGACAGACACACACACACACACACACACACACACACACACACACACACACACACACGCGCGCGCGCGCACACACAACGCGGGGACAGGCAGGTGCTTAAACACTCTGTGGACACACAGACAGGGAGATATATTACACACTGTGAGACACACACACACACACACACACACACACACAACGCGGGGACGAGCTGGTGAACAGATAGAGAGGGAAATATGTGTCACACTGTTACGACTGACATGCCTTGTTAAACACTCTCAAAACACACACAGATCTATACTAGGCAAGGGCCAGGTAAACACACTGGTTAGACACATGCATGGACATGGTCGTGCATGTTAAACAGTCTCAGTTTAGATTAGTTGTAGTAAGAGTTTTACGGCACTTGCAACTTGATTTTTATAAAAAAAATTTGAGTACAGGTTTTACGGTGCTCGCAACTCCATAAAGTCAGATGAGGGCCACGGGGTGGATGTCAACAGAGAAGTCCTTACAGGGAATCAGGCTTACTCTGCTCAACTCACTAGCTTCAGCAGCACAAAGTCTGTTCCGACTATCAAGGCACCCCGGAAATAGCGGGTCAAAAGAGTGTGACTAACATACAAAAGAAGTAGAGGAAAATGACGATAGTATAGTTCAGGCACAGTTATAAGCATGACATTGTTGGATCAGCCCATTTACAATTCTACTGTGCATTACAACGAGAAATGCCCCCCCCCCCCCCTTTGGGAAAGGCCTAAAGACACTTCAGTCAGTGGCACCGCCCCGGGGGGTTGAACAAAGAAAGGAGGACAGATGAGGACGACAGCTGATGTCTAATAGGAAAGAAGGAGTAAAGGACACCAGGACAACCGCCAACTACCCACCTTGTGGGAACACAGGGACGAGATGGTGCTTAACTCTTATCTCCGGCAAGCACGTCCCATGCACTCAACAAGCATGTCTGTGATTAACTCACACAAAAGGACGACCAAAACACATGACATCTACAGAAGAAACAGCAAGCCCGAAATGCCTCGCGGGAAGGCATGCTTCTTTTTTTGTTTTTGTTACCCCAACAGACCCCCCCCCCTTTTTTTTTTGGTTGCCCCAACAGCGTTTTTTAAAATATTTTTGTTGCCCCAACAGCGTTTTTTTATATATTTTGGTTGCCCCAACAGCGTTTTTTATATATTTTGGTTGCCCCAACAGCGTTTTTTATATATTTTGGTTGCCCCAACAGCCCTTTTTCGATGTCGCCTCAACAGCCCTTTTTTGTTTTTGTTGCCCCAACAGCCCTTCCCAACAGCGGTGCATTCTCTTGTTATTCCATGTTTCTTCATGTTTATTTTCTTCCAAAGGCCCAGCAGTGTGGGTGTAGGAATCGCAGAACATCCAAAGGGCGCGCGGTGACGTCATCCAAGGGTAAACAACCGAGTTTTGAAATGCTCCAATATATCCTGTCGGACACTGACCGGGATTTGATACGGCTGTTTTTTGTTTTGTTTGGTGTTGTTTTGCTGTTTATTTTTGATCAATTTTGTTGTTTTTTATCTGAACGTTTGTTATTTGTAAATCATAACACACGTCTATATTTCCGATACTTCTGTAAAGTGAGAAACAGGAGGAAAAAACAGTGACAGTGAGACGGGTTACGATTGGGCTTATTTCGCGGATAAAAGGAGGGGAGTGGGTGGAGAGAGAGAAAAGGTAGAAGAGAGAGATAGATAGATAGATAGAGAGAGAGAGAGAGAGAGAGAGAGAGGGGGGGAGAGAGAAGGGAGAGAG